ATGTCATTTAGGAAATGAAAACGAACTCATGAGGACATGAGGACTGGATTGGATTCAACAAGGAAAGTGAAGGAGGGGTTTCAACAAAGTTCACCAAACTCCAGGCTCTTCATGGTGTCTCTCTGTATGATTCAAACTGTGATACACCCAGGCCTCCCAGAATTTAATTGACAGGTAACATTTCAACATGTTTTCTGGAAGCACAGAAAGTCTAGATTTCAAGGAGGTGAAAGCAGACCTTGAGACCACGATTTTACTACAAAGCCTTTGTGTTTGGGGAGGGTGGGAGGGGAGAGGGAAGGAAGACAGAGAGTAGAAGATATTATCAAGCCAGTGACTGCAATGAGAGCTTGGAGACTCAGGGTCATCCCACCTGAGGAGTGAGGAAGACTGGGGTCTTTTTCGGTCATTTCCCAAAATGTGTTGGCTGAGGCTGCTTCTAGGACGGGGGCATGTGCTAGTTTTCTTGCACTTCCAATCTGCTCAATGGGTGGTGTATTCGGCCCTTCTTTCACTGCTATAAAGAAATGCCTGAGACTGGGTAATTGATAAAGAAAAGAGGTTTAATCGATTCACAGTTCTGCAGGCTGGACAGGAAGCCTGACTAGGGAAGCCTCAGGAAACTTACAATTATGGTGAAAGGCAAAGGGGAAGCAGGTGCATCTTACGTGGTTAGAACAGGAGCAAGAGAGAGAGTGAGAAGGGAGGTGCCACACACTATTAAACAACTTGATTTTGTGAGAACTCACTCACTAGCATGAGAACAGCACCAAGAAGAGGATGCTAGACCATTCATGAAAAACCATCCCCATGACCCAGCCATCTCCCACCGGGCCCCAGCTTTAACATCGGGGATTACAATTTGACATGAGATTTGGGTGGGAACACAGATCCAAACCATAGCAGGTGGGAAAGCAGGCTCAAGGGATAAGAGAATGCCATTGGGAAAATGAGCGCGTGTCTTGGCACCCCGAGGTTGGACCGTCTTGCACTGACTGATACTGATAAGGAGATAAAGTCCACGCCATATTGGTGAACTCCAGGAACATGCTTCATTTTTTTTCACAAGCAAGCAATGGCATCTTTCATATCTAAGCAGCAAGACAAGCTGCCATCTTGTTTATCAATAGCTCTAACATCTGCCTATGAATTCCTACATCTCCTATCTGTTTGTCTATGAGAATAGCCAAGTTGCCTCTTTGCCTTGAGAGGAAAGGATGGATGGAAAAGAGTTTGAACACTCCAGGTTTGCTGGAGGGAGTGATGACATCTGAACAGAGGAGTCAAAGTGTTACTAGAAAGGGGTCCCAATTCAAACCCCAAGAGAGTTCTTGGATCTCATGCAAGAAAAAAATTCAGGATGAGTCCACAGAGTGAAAGCAAGTTTATTAAGAAAGTAAAAGGGCTGGGCAGGGTGGCTCATGCCTGTAATGCCAACACTTTGGGAGGCTGAGACGGGCGGAATGCTTGAGCCCAAGAGTTTGAAACCAGCCTTGCCAACAAGACAAAACTCTGTCTCTACCAAAAATACAAAAATTAGCTGGGTGTGGTGGCGTGCACCTGTGGTCCCAGCTACTTGGGAGACCGAGGTGGGAGGACTGCTTAAGTTCAACAGGTTGAGGCTGCAGTGAACTCTGATTGTGCCAATGGACTCCACTCTGGGTGACAGAGTGACATCTTGTCTCAGGGAAAAAAAAAAAAAAAGAAAGGAAGGAATAAAACAATGGCCACTCCACAGACAGAACAGAAGCATGGGCTGCTTGACTGAGTATACTTATGGTTATTTCTTGATCATATGCTAAACAAAGGGCATTTAGCATATAATCTAAATACCATATTATATGCTAAATATAAGAGTTTTCTGGGAAACAGGAGTTTCTATAACTGAGGGTTCCTCCCCTTTTAGACAATATATGGTAACTTCTGGATGTTGCCATGGCATTTGTAAACTGTCATGGCACTTGTGGGAGTATCTTTGAGAAGCAAATTTATTAGAATTAGGATATAATTAGTGAGGACGATCAGAGGTCACTCTCGTCACCATCTTGGTTTTGGTGGGTTCTGGCCGGCTTCTTTACCGCAACCTGTTTTATCAGCAAGGTCTTTATGACCCGTATCTTGTGCTGACCTCCTATCTCATCCTGTGACTAAGAATGCCTAACCTCCTGGGAATGCAGCCCAGCAGTTCTCAGCCTCATTTTATCCAGCTCCTATTCAAGATGGAGTTGCTCTGGTTCAAATGCCTCTAACAAGAGAACATGTTGGGGTGGGCGTGGTGGCTCACACCTGTAATCCCAGCACTTTGGGAGGCCGAGGCGGATCATTTGAGGTCAGGGGTTCGAGACCAGCCTGGTCAACATAGTGAAACCCTGTCTCTACTAAAAATACAAAAAATTAGCTAGGCATGGCGGCGGGTGCCCGTAATCCCAGCTACTCAGGAGGCTGAGGCAGGAGAATCTCTTGACCGGAGAGGCGGAGCTTGCAGTGAGCCAAGATCGCACCATTGCACTCCAGCCTGGGGGACAAGAGCGAAGCTCTGTCTCAAAAAAAAAAAAAAAAAAAAAGGGAGAGAGAATGCGTTCGTCATGTACTTCCTTGGCCAAGAACCTATGTGTGAGTCTAATAGTGAGAAAAATCTAGCACCATTCACTCCGTCTTGCTTCTTACCTCACAAGCTAACTGCGTTTGCTCATTCCTACAAATAGGCCAAGCTAATCATGAATTCAGATTATGGTTTAACTTTAAAGCAAGAATGATCATAGTCCCTTCCCAAAAATAACCCCCAAGGGGATCAGGAGGATGTACACAGAAGGAAAAATGCTATGTCAAAGATTTGTAAGAGCACTGTGACCTGACCAAGGACGAGGAAGTTCCACAAGGCCCCCTGGACCATAACAGCCGCCCAGATGTCTACGATCATTGCTCACCTCCTGCCCTCTATCACCCTCCCTCTCCCCCTAGCATAAAAGGAGCCTAAAATTCTATTAAGATGGTTCTTTCAACCCAAATGCCCATCAGTGATAGACTGGATAAAGAAAATGTGGCACATATACACCATGGAATACTATGCAGCCATAAAAAAGAATGAGTTCATGTCCTTTGCAGGGACATGGATGAAGCTGGAAACCATCTTTCTCAGCAAACTAACACGGGAACAGAAAACCAAACACCGCATGTTCTCACTCATAAGTGGGAGGTGAACAGTGAGAACCCATGGACACAAGGAGGGGAACATCACACACCGGGGCCTGTTGCGGGGTGGGGGGCAAAGGGAGGGAGAGCATTAGGATAAATACCTAATGCCTGTGGGGCTTAAAACCTAGATGACAGGTTGATGGGTGCAGCAAACCACCATGGCACATGTATACCTATGTAACAAACCTGTACATTCTGCACATGTATCCCAGAACTTAAAGTATAATAATAATTTTTTTTTTAAAGATGGCTTTTTAGGACGGCACTCTTCTGTCTTCTCGACTTGCTGGTTCTTCAAAATAAAGCTGCTGTCCTTACCTTCACACCTTGTCTCTAGACTTACTGGCTGTCATGCAATGCGTGGAGCAAGCTTTAGACGCGACGATGGGAGTGTGAAGGGGGTGGTCACATGTGGAAGGAGACGGAAAGGTGGAGAGAATTGGGCAAGTGGGCAAGGTACCTGGCACAGCTGACCATTTTGTGTGATTCTGGGACAGAGAGAAGTGATGGTAGGTAATCTCCCAAAACTGTTCGGCAGCTGAGAGACCTGCTCCTTCCCCCAGCCGGCTCCGAGGCACTGCCTTCCTGCACAATGCACAGTAGCCCCCCTTATCTGTGGTTTTGCTTTCTGTGGTGAAAGAGTTTGGGTATTTGTCCCTGTCAAATCTCACGTCAAATTGTCATGCCCAATGCTGGAGGTGGGCCTGGTGGCAGGTGTTTGGGTCATGGGGGCAGATTCCTCATGGCTTATGTCTGTCCTCACAATAGTGGGTTAGTTCTTGCCAGATCTGGCTGGTTCAGTGTTGTGGCACCTCTCACCACCCCCGAGTTGCTCCTGTTTTTCTCGTGTGATATGCTCACCCCCACTTCATCTTTCACCATAACTGGAAGCTTCCTGAGGCCCCCCAGAAGCTGAGCAGATGCTGGTGCCGTGCTTTCTCCACAGCCTGCAGAACGGTGAGCCAATGACACCTTTTGTGTGTGTGTGTGTGTGGCGGGAGTCTTGCTGTCGCCCAGGCTGGAGTGCAGTGGCACGATCTTAGCTCACTACAACCTCCGCCTCCCAGATTCAAGAGATTCTCCTGCCTCAGCCTCCTGAGTAGCTGGGATTACAAGTGCCCACCATGACCCCGACTAATTTTTTGTATTTTTGGTAGAGACAGGGTTTCACCATGTTGGCCAGGCTGATCTTAAACTCCTGACCTCAAGTGATCCTCCCGCCTCAGCCTCCCAAAGTGCTGGGATGACAGGCGTGAGTCTCCGTGCCCAGCCCACTTCTTTTTTTTCATATAAATTACCCAGTCTCTGGTATTTCTTTGCAGCAATGCAAGAACAGCCTACAACATGTGGTTTCCGTTATCACTGGTCAACTATAGGCTGAAAATACTAAGATATTTCAAGAGAGAGACTGAGACACACACATGAAAGAGAGAAAGAGCACACCACATTCACATAACTTTTACTACAGTATATTGTTATAATTGTCCTATTTCATTATGAGTCTGTTGTTCATTTTTCACTGTGCCTAATTCATAAATTAAACTTTATCATCATAGGTTTGTTTGTATAAGAAAAGAAACAGGCTGGCCGCAGTGGCTCACACCTGTACACCCAGCACTCTGGGAGGTGGGTTGATCACCTGAGCTCAGGAGTTTTAGACCAGCCTGACCAACATGGCAAAATCCCATCTCTATTAAAAATACAAAAAAATGAGCCAGTTGTGGTGGCAGGCAGCTGTAATCCCAGCTACTTGGAAGGCTGAGGTGGGAGAATTGCTTGAACCCGGGAGGTGGAGGTTGTCGAGAGCCGAGATCACACCATTGCATTCCAGCCTGGGTGACAGAGCAAGACCCTGTCTCAAAGAAAAATAAAAAATAAAAATAAATAAATAAAACATACTAAAGGAAATAAAAATATTTTATCTCAAAATATATTTCTTTAATATATTGGGGAGTACTCCTGAAATGCTATCTTTCCACTTCTCGAAAGAAGACATTCATGTGGCCAAAAAAAAAAAACATATGGAAAAACCTGAACACCGCTGATCATCAGAGAAATGCAAATCAAAGCTAATGACAAGACACCATCTCACACTAGTCAGAATGGCGATTATTAAAAAGTCAAAAAACAACAGGTGCTGGTGAGGTTGTGGAGAAACAGGGACACTGTTACACTGTTGGTGGGAGTGTAAATTAGTTCAACCACTGTGGAAGACAGTGTGGCGATTCCTCAGAGACCTCAAGGCAGAATTACCCTTTGACCCAGCAATCCCATTACTGGGTATGTACCCAAAGGAAAAATCATTCTATCATAAAGATCCATGCATGTGTATGTTCACTGCAGCACTGTTCACAATAGCAAAGACACAGAATCAACCTGAATGCCCATCAATGATAGGCTGGGTAAAGAAAATGTGGTGGCCAGGCACAGTGGCTCACGCCTGTAATCCCAGCACTTTGGGAGGCCAAGGCGGGCAGATCACTTGAGGTCAGGAGTTCAAGACTAGCTTGGCCAACATGGTGAAACCCCGTCTCTACCAAAAATACAAAAATTTGCTTGGTGTGATGGCGGGTGCCTGTAATCCCAGCTACTCGGGAGGCTGAGGCAGGAGAATCGCTTGAATCTGGGAAGCAGAGGTTGCAATGAGCTGAGATTGCACCACAGCACTCCAGCCTGGGTGACAGAGCAAGATTCCATTTCAAAAAGAAAAAAAGAAAAAAGAAAATGTGGTACATATATACCATGGAATACTATGCAGCCATACAAAAGCATGAGTTTATGTCCCTTGCAGGAACATGGATGGAGGTGGAAGCCGTTACCCTCAGCAAACTAATGCAGGAACACAAAATAAAATACTGCATGTTCTCACTCATAAGTGGGAGCTGAAGAATGAGAGCACAGGGAGGAGAACACACACTGGGGACTGTGAAAAGCTCGGGGGTAAGGGGAGGGAGAGCCTCAGGAAGAATAGCTAACAGATGCTGGCTTAATACCTGAGTGATGGGTTGATCTGTGCAGCAAACCACCATGGCACATGTTTACTTAGGTAACAAACCTGCACATTCTGCACATGCGCCCTTGAATTTTAAATTAAAGGTGAAGGAAAACAAAAAAGAAGAAACACTGTCTTTTGTGGGGGAACCCTGCGTCTGTTGATCTATAGAGGGTCTACTGTAAGGCGGCCAGCCCTTCTCTTGTCTGGATTAGACAGTCAGCTGTAAAGTGACCAACTCTTCTCTTGTCCGGATCTAGGAGAGATTAACTGAGAGTATGGAGCTTTTAAAGACCTGAAAAGAAATATTCACCATCTCTTCTCTCTGGGGGCTGCTACCTGTGAAGTTGCATCTACATAACGAGCCCACTTTTGCTAGCAAAGCCTTTTCCTATCTCCCTCCCATAACCTGTCTTGCAGCTAAAACTTGGTTTCGGCTGTGCTCCGAGTCTGCATTCTCGTTTTTTATTTTGTTGTATTTTGAGATAGGGTCTCAGTCGCCCAGGCTGGAGTGCAGTGGTGCAATTACATCTCTGCAGTCTCCACCTCCCAGGCTCAAGCAATCAGCATGCCTGGCTAATTAAAAAAAAAAAAAAAAAATGGGGAGGCGGGGGAGGTGGGCACTGTGGCTCATGCCTGTAATCGCAGCACTTTGGGAGGCTGAGGCACAGGAATCACCTGAGGTTAGGAGATTGAGACCAGCCTGGCCAACATAGTGAAACCCTGTTTCTACTAAAAATACAAAAATTAGCCGGGTGCGGTGGCACACACCTGTAAACCCAGCTACTTGGGAGGCTGAGGCAGGAGAATCGCTTGAACTCAGGAGACGGAGGTTGCAGTGAGCTGAGATCACACCACTGTACTCCAGCATGGACGACAGAGCTAGACTCTATCTCAAAAAAAAAATTTTTTTGTGTAGAGATGAGACCACACTTAGTTGCCTAGGCTGGTCTTGAACTCCTAGCCTCAAAGCAATCCTCCTGCCTTGACCTCCCAAAGACATTACAGGCATGAGCCACTGTGCCTGGCCCTGGAAGAGGAGAGAAGGTCTGAAAAGCTTTTCTACTCGTCGAGCAACGGCATTTGCAGGTGGCACATTGAAGAGGTAATTAGGTTATTAAGTGGAATTAATGTCTCTGGAAGGAAGGGGCTAGCTATTGTGGGACTGTGGCCCCCTTGTTTTTCTTGAGCACATACCTTCTCTCCTTGTCCACTTTCTCTCCAAGCTATGAACCAGAATGAAGCCCTCATCAGATTCAGCTGCTCCACCTTGGACTTCCCAGCCACCACAACTGCAAGTTAAAAACACCCTCTATTTTTAATAAGCTACTCAGTCTGTGGTATTCTGTGATAGCAACAGAAAACAGACTAAAACACACCCTTTCTACTTCTAGTGCTGACCAACACTTTCTCCTTGTCACAAAGGCTGGATGTGATGCCCTCCGTCACCCTCAGGGAGGGAGGGGGCTCCTCTTCATTAAATATGGCAGTGGTCAGGCCAGATGCAGTGGCTCATGCCTGTAATCCCAGCACTTTGGGAGGCCAAGGCAGATGGATCACTTGAGGCCAGGAGTTTGAGACCAGCCTGGCCAACATGGTGAAACCCAGTCTCTACTAAAAATACAAAAATTAGCTGGGCATGGTGGTGCATGCCTGTACTCCCAGCTACTCAGGAGGTTGAGGCAAGAGAATCACTTGAACCCGAAAGGCAGAGGTTGCAGTGAGCCAAGATTGCATCACTGCACTCTAGCCTGGGGGACAGAGGAAGACCTTGTATTTAAAAAAAAAAAATTCCATCTATCTATCTATCTATCTATCTATCTATCTAATCTATCTTATCTATCTATCTATCTATCTATCTATCTATCTATCTATCTATCTATCTGATTGTGGTCAGAAACAAGTAAATGTAGGGAAGCCATAAACTCAGTAATGAACTAGACTCCTTTTAGGGAGATTAGGCTGTTCCTGGTGTGTGCTATCAGAAATTCTGAAATATTCCTTGAATGCCTCTCAGAGTGATACAGTTGACCACAAACCTCCCCCATCTGCTATATCTACTTGTCTTGTCCCCCGAAATTGTTTTCTCCTTGCTTTGCTTTTCCTGATGGGGTCAGGAAACATTCCACCCGGAACTGTGGCATTTGAGAAAACAATGTAAGTAAGAAGGTCACTTTCACCTTACCCTCACGGGTCTTCCTTAACGTAGGTCATAAAAGCTCAGAAGGACTCTCTGATCTTACCCTGAAGCAGGTCACGGGACCCCCACTCCGGAGGTCTCCTCCCTATACCAGGAGGAAGAGAATATCCTTAACTCTGAACACGCAGGGACGCAGAAGAATCTGAACAAACAGGCCCTGCTAAGTTCCCGCAGTTTATTCTCATTAGATCAGATCCTTTTGCCAGAGGTGTGTAAACCAGAGCCACTCCATCTTGAATAGGGGCTGGGTAAAATGAGGCTAAAACCTACTGGGCTGCATTCCCAGATGGTTAAGGCATTCTAAGTCACAGGATGAGATAGGAGGTTGATACAAGATACAGGTCAGAAAGGCCTTGCTGATGAAACAAGGTTGCAGTAAAAAAAAAAAAAAAAAAAAAAAAAGCCGGTCAAATCCCACCAAAACCAAGATAGCCACAAGAGTGACCTCTGGTCATCCTCACTGCTACACTCCCACCAGCGCCATGACAGTTACAAATGCCATGGCAACATCAGGAAGTTACCCTACATGGTCTAAAAACGGGAAGCATGAATAATGCACCCCTTGTTTAGCATATCCACAGAAATAACCATAAAAATGGGCAACCAGGAGCCCTCGGGGCTGCTCTGTCTATGGAGTAGCCATTCTTTATTCCTTTTGTTTCCTAATAAACTTGCTTTCACTTTACTCTGTGGACTCACCCTGAATTCTTTCTTGCTTGAGATCCAAGAACCCTCTCTTGGGGTCTGGTTCGGGACCCCATTCCTGTCACACTTGTCCAATAATCACACTTCTCCATCACTGTTCACTCTTCATTAAAACTAAGCATATCACATCTGTAATCCCAGCACTTTGGGAGACCGAGGCAGGTGGATCAACTGAGGTCAGGAGTTCGAAACCAGCCTGGCCAACATGGTGAAACTCCGTCTCTACTAAAAATATAAAAATTAGCCGGACGTGGTGGTGCTTGCCTATAGTCCCGGCTACTCGGGAGGCTGGGGCAGGAGGATCGCTTGAACCCACGAGGTGGAGGTTGCAATGAGCCGAGATCACGCCATAGAACTCCAGCCTGGGCGACAGAGTGAGACTCCATCTCAAAAAACAAACAAACGAACAAACAAAAAACCAAAACCGAAGCACAAAAATACTCACATTTCCCTATTTATTTCTTATGATGGCTTCCATGTCACATAAAACCTCAATACATGGACCTGCTTTTCTCTTGCTATTCTGTTTTTGTTCTAGGGGCCTTAGTCATAAAGCCGATGATGGGTGAAGAGAAACATTTCTCTCTCCCTGCTACCCTGCCATTACGACAGGCCACAGGCAGCACTCCCAGCTGCTCCGTGGATGTGCTGCAACTTGAATTTGAACTTATTTCAAGTTCTTTGCCTTCAGAATGGTCAGGAATAGAGACCATGTTCCAGGTGAAGCACAGCCCCATCATGTCAACAGGTTTAGACGCAATGACACTGGAGAGGCTTGACTGCTGAAAGTGAAGAAGGAAAGTGCTTCCTAGGATAGGGTTTGTAAAGGAGCTTAAATTAGTGATGTTTCCTTGCATCCGGTCCATGCCAATGTGCAATTCCATTTTGTTTCTCTTTTTACAGAAAAGGCTGGCCCCTGACTCTCTGGAATTGTATGCATGAGATATTTCTCCTGAACCTACAGAGACTCAAATCCCCATGACTCAAAGGCAGAATCTGTGAAATTTTACTGTCTGATCTGGGAACAGTTTCTAGGATGTCATTGTCATCGGTTGATTGGATTTTGAGTTGACCCCCAAAAATTCAGATAAAGAACATGTGTCTGAGCAGCTCTGGTAGGCTGTGCCCCCCCTTTTTTTTTTTTTTCTTTTGAGATGGAATATTGCTCTGTTGCCCAGGCTGGAGTACAGTAGTGTGATCTGAGCTCACTTCAACATCTGCCTCCCAGGTTCAAGTGATTCTCCTGCCTCAGCCTCCTGAGTAGCTGGGATTACAGGCACTCACCACCATGCCCAGCTAATTTGTGTATTTTTAGTAGAGACGGAGTTTCACTATTTTGGCCAGGCTGGTCTCGAACTCCTGACCTCAGGTGATCCACCCACCTCAACCTCCCAAAGTACTGGGATTACAGGCACGAGCCACCGCGCCCGGCCTGCCCTTCTTTTCTTGCATGTCTTTGGCTGGTATTTAGCATGCGAACATGGCATCACTGATACTGTACTAGCCAGCTGAAAAGACGCATACACAGGCTCACACATCAAGTTATTGCCAAATTAATTATTGCTGTAAAAATGCTTTGTACCACTGAGGGGACACAGATCATGAAATTTCCAATGTATGAACTCTAGGCTACCAAATACTGCTTACCTTTGGGCGCTGTGAACCGCGAGGAAAATTCCAGTGATCTGGGGGCAGTCACAAGGCAAAGTGGTCCAAATGGCCTGAACTCAGAATCAAAGAGCCCTTCGTTTTGATCCCAGCCCACTGCTAATGAACTCTATGGCCCTGTGTTGTTTTCTTATCAGCAGACATGAGCTAATAAGTCCAATATCCATGTATCACAATTATTTCCCAGTGAATCAACACATAGAAAGTTATACGACAATACAAAAATGTAGGTAAAAATTTACTTGTTTGTCCATCAGTCCATCTATTCACCTACTCATCCATCCATTCATCCATCTATTCTTCTACCCACCCATCTATCCAGCTATCTATCCACCTGTCTGTCTGTCCATCCATCTATCCATCCGTCCGTCCGTCCATCCATCCATCCATCCATCCATCCATCCATCCATCCATCTATCCATCCACCCACCCACCTACTCATCTATCTCTCTACCCATCCAGCCAGCCAGTAATCTGTCCACCCATCTATCCATCCATTTGTTCACCCATTTATCCATCCATCCACCCACCTACCCATCTATCTCTCTACTCCTCCATCCACCCAGTAATCTGTCCATCCATCTATCCTTCCAACCATCCATCCACCCACCCATCCACTCACCTATCTATCCATCTATCCATAGATCAATCCATTTATCCCCGCTTTCATCCATCCATTTATTCATCTGTCCATTTATCCATCCATTCCTCCACCCACCCATCCATTCATCATTTATTCATCTATTCATTCATCTATTCATCCACCCACCCATCCATTCATCCATTTACTCACATGTATCCATCCATTCATCCATCCATCCAACTATCTATCCACCCAATCGCCCACTCATCTTTCCATACATCTATCCACTCATCCTCTCATCCATCCACCCATTTGTCTGCCCATTTATTCATTCATCCAGCCATCTATCTCTTTATCCATCCTTACAGCAAGTGATCCACCCATTCGTGCATGCAGATGGCTGTCTGTCCATTCATTCATCCATCCACCACTTCCTACCCTCAGACCCATCTATATCCACCCATCATCCACTGACCTCAAAAACTTCATTTGATCGTCTGTGCAGCAGACATGGTGTGTAACGCTCAGACATCTCTTAAGGGTCTTGGTTGTCCACAAGAACCTCACAGGAGGTCTCTAAGTTGGGTTCAGACCCTGGTAATGAAAAACAGAAATAAAAGTGATTTAAAGAAAGCTGATGGAGACCTGACTTTAGCAAACAGTGAGATAAAAATGTACGCCTCTGTCCTGTAAAATAAGTTGGGAGAGTGAGTCTGGGGCTGGCATGGCCATCGTGCTATGTCACCAGCCACCCTGACACCTTTGCTCAACGTGTTCTGCCATGCTTAGAATACAACTTCTGGCTGGGCGCAGTTGCTCATACCTGTAATCCCAGCACTTTGGGAGGCCGAGGTGTGTGGATCATGAGGTCAGGAGTTCGAGACCAGCCTGGCCAACAGGGTGAAACCTTGTCTCTACTAAAAATACAAAAATTAGCCAGGCATGGTGGTGCACGCCTGTAATCCCAGCTACTCAGGAGGCTGAGACAGGAGAATCACTTGAACCCAGGAGGCGGAGGTTGCAGTGAGCCAAGAGGGTGCCACTGCACTCCAGCTTGGGCCACAGAGCAAGAATCCATCTCAAAACAAACAAACAACACATACACAACTTCTATCCTGTAGGAGACTTCCTGCTCCAAACTGGCTGCTGGGACTTCAGTCATCACGTCATTATCCCAGGCAGGTTCAGGACGAAGCAAAGACAAAAGAAAAAAAAAAAAAAAAAAGAAAGAAAGGAAAAAAAAAAAGAAAAAGAAAAGTGATTCCGCCTCCAGGAGTGGAGTGCATAGTTTCACTGCTGCAATCCTCAAACCCCTGAGGTGGGCCCTGGGGTGCGGAGCCAGGCCCTCTGGCCTTGCCTGTGTCTGATCTAGGGGCACAGATGGTCTGGGGAAAGACGGTGTCGCCGCAGGCCTGGCACAACACAAGACCAGTGTTACCGAAGGGCCCCTGACTCAGCCTGCGGGGGCGAGTCGCCAAGGACCAGGACTCAGCCAGGCCACCCAGATAGGGGTCTTACCCCCAACCCCAAACCACGGCCACAAGTCCTCACTCCCAACCCTGTCTCTGAGCTTGTGGCCGAACGTCCTTGGTCCCGCGCAGAGTGGGTATCCGCAGTGTGTCCCAAAGCCCCTCACCCCCGCCATCCCTCTCCACTGAGCGCCCCCAGCTCGGACGCTCCAGAAAGGACCAGGGGCCGTGGCTGCCTGTCGAGGCCTACGCCTTTCTGAACAGGGAAGGGATTGCACTTTGCACCCCTTGGGGAGCGCCCTGAGCGCCCCGCGAGCAGCGGGAAGAGGGCCCCATAGTTTTCCGAGCAGAGAAGCAGGAAAAGTTTCATTTTCTCCCCGTTGGGGCTGCCTGGGAGGGTGCCTGTTAGGAACAGAGAGGGGACAGCAAGGGCGAGTGCGGAGAGGCCCACACCTCTCCAAGAAGGGCAGTGGTTTCTCTTGGCTCCAGGTAGGGACCACCCTCGGGCGTGCATTTAAGGGGCTGTAAAGAGGGAGGGACCCGCACTTTCCCGGGGGTTGCACTTTGCTCTAGTTGGCGCCGTCCTGGGCGTCCTGGCGACGGCCCTGTGGGCCGGGGGCACTCACAGTTTCCTGAGAAGGGAAGGGGGGGCGTCCCGTGCTCCCCTGGGCGCCGCCTGGGTCACCTCCGCCCGTCCCCTCCCCGGGGCCCCTCCTCCGCCCCCTCCCCGGGGCCCCTCCTCCGCCCCTCCCCCTCCCCGGGCCCCTCCTCCGCCCCTCCCCCTCCCCGGGGCCCCTCCTCCGCCCCTCCCCCTCCCCGGGGCCCCTCCTCCGCCCCCTCCCCCTCCCCGGGGCCCGGCGTTGCCGCCCCTTCCGTGTGCACGTGGAGGCCGGGGTGGGGCGGGCCAGGCGCAGCCCGGGCTGAGCTTGCAGGGCTGCTCCACTCACCCAACCTCTTCGAGTCCTCCGCGGGCTCCGCCCCACCCGGCTAGTGGGGGAGGTTCTGTCCCGCAGCCTTCGCGGGCGCGCTGCTCTCGGGGACGGTTCCTGCTCGCGTTGGGCGCACTATGGCGCGCTGGGCTGCTGCTCCTCGGCCTGCTCCGCCCTCTGGTGGCCGCCCCTGGTGAGCGAGCGGCGGGATCCGGGTCGGGGGACGCGGTGGGGCGCGGGTCGGGCCTGGAGATCCGCTTGGGGATGTGGGTTGCGGGGTGGTGCACCCCGCTGGGACACCCGGTCCCTGTTCCCTGCCCGGCGGGACGCGCTGTGCCCACGGGGGCCCAGGTCCGGAGGAGGCGCCTACTTTCTCCACAACGCTCTTCCTGGGCCAAGTGGCAGCCGTTTCAGAGGGAAAGGTCGGCGTTTCTTTTGTAAACCAAAAAGTACCTGGGACAAGTCTCAATACATTTGAGTTAATTTGGCGAAGGTCAGGAAGGAGCCCTTTCTCCAAAGGTGATACTGAGGGCTTAGGTATTTAAAGGGGGGGGGGAAGCACGCTGGAGGGGAAAGGAGGAGGAAGGCTCATTTTACCCAATTTACCTGTTGCAAAAGAAAAGGAGCAGGTAGAATAGTCAATTATGTGTTTGTCTTACGCTCACTAAATTGGCACTTTACTAAGATAAGGTCAACAGAGTTGTTGCATTCTTTCTCTGCATCTATCTGCTTGGGAACAGAAGGAAAGACAGCTTTTTGCCTAATTCAGCTTCCAGCTTTATTTATTATTATTATTATCATTATTATTTTGGCAGAGTGAACTGGGGTTCCAAGTTTTAATTTTCCTTCTACACTTTTCAGAATCGCAAGCTCTTAAATTTAGAGGGACCTGGGGAAGAGGTGGCATCCGATTCACCCCAACCCTGGTGACGTTCTTAGGGATCTCTGCCCCTTTGCATGAGCCCCTCACGTCCCCTGTTATCTCCCCACCGCCCCCCAGGATTCTGGGACCTGGGTCTTGGTTAGGGCAATTGGGGAGGTCTCCCTGGAGCAGCCTCCCGGAGCCACGCCCTGCATCCCGGGCCTAAATTTGGAATTGCTGGGAGCCTGAGACCCGGGGTGGGGGAGGGGAAGGAAAGTTAGAAAAAATGTTCACTCCTGAAAACGTTCAAAAATACTTTGCGGGCCGGGCGCGGTGGCTCACGCTTGTAATTCCAGAACTTTGGGAAGCCGAGGCGGGAGGATCACTTGAGGTAGGGAATTCGAGACCAGCCTGGCCAACATGGTGAAACCCCATCTCTACTAAAAATACAAAAATTAGCTGGGTGTGATGGTGCACATCTGTAATCCCAGCTACTTGGGAGGCTAAGGCACGAGAATCGTTTGAACCCAGGAGGCGGAGGCTGCAGTGAGCCGAGATGGGACCACTGCACTACAGCCTGGTCGACAGAGTGACACTCTGAAAACAAACAAACAAAAAAATTAGCGGATACAGGCTCCAGGAATTTAAGCCCGTGCGCTGTGCGACAGGTCCCTGTGAAAAGCGACACGTGGGGGTAGAAATGTGCCCCTACCAGATTGTCCGTGTGTACCAGAGGAGAATTCGGAAAACAGAAAAAATACCAGGAAGGAAGGCTCCCCTGCCATCCCCGACACTGTTACCTTAACAGTGTTTTTCTTTATTTTTTATTTTTGTAGGTACATAGTTGGTGTATATATTTATGAGTCTATAAGATATTTTGATACAGGCTTGCAATAAGCAATAATCACATCATGGAGAATGCAGTATTCATCCCCTCACGCGTTTATCCTTTGCGTAGCGAGCAATTCAATTATACTCTTTAACAACATTTTTCTATCCCCAACCTTTTAAAATAAAACAGGGGAACCTGCTGGCTGTCCTGTGTTATAAATTCCTTTTTCCACTCCCTGGTGCATTTTTGGTCCTTAATATAGTCAGGTTTTTTTTTTGAGACAGAGTCTAGCTCTGTCGCCTAGGCTGGAGTGCAGTGGTGCAATCTCAGCTCACTGCAACCTCCTTCTCCCAGGTTCAAGCAATACTCCTGCCTCAGCCTCCTGAGTAGCTGGGATTACAAGCACCCACCACCATATCTGGCTAATTTTTGTGTTTTTAGTAGAGATGGGGTTTCACCATGTTGGCCAGGCTGGTCTTGAACTCCTGACCTCCGGTGATCCTCCTGCCTCGGCCTCCCAAAGTGTTGGGATTACAGGGGTGAGCCACCACGCCAGCCTAGTCAGGCTTTTAAGTAGACCGGCTTGCAGGCAGTGTCGTGTCTGGACTGGCCTTACCTGTAGGGTCCAGCCCTACAGGGCTTGGCGGGTGTTCCCCCGTGTGTGGAGACGAGAGATCATAAGAAATAAAGACAAAAGACACATAGATAAAGAGAAAACAGCTGGGCCCGGGGAACCACTACCACCAAGACACCGAGACCGGTAGTGGTAGCGGCCCTGAATGGTTGGGCGCTGATAATTTGTTGTATACAAGACAAGGGGGCAGGGTGAGGAGGGTGAGTCATCCAAGTGATTGATAAGGTCAAGTAGCAGAGAGGGAAGGCAGCATACGTCAACGTTTTCTTCTATACACTTATCATAAAGATCAAAGACTTTAAGACTTTCACTATTTCTTCTACCACTATCTTCTAAGAACTTTAAAGAGGAACCTGGAGTATGGGAGGAACGTGAAAGTGGACAAGGAGCGTTGAAGCACAGCACCACAGGAGGGGGCTTAGGCCGACGACTGCGGGCAGGCCTGGATCATATCCAGCCTTCCACAAGAAGCTGGTGGAGCAGTGTTCCCTGGCTCCTAAAGGAAAGGAGACTCCTTTTCGTGGTCTGCTAAGTAACGGGTGCCTTCCTAGGCACTGGCATTACCGCTTGACCAAGGAACCCTCAAGCGACCCTTATGCGGGTGTGATAGAGGGCTCACCTCTTGCCTTCTAGGTCACTTGTCACAATGTCCCTTCAGCACCTGACCCTATACCCGCTGGTTATTCCTTGGTTATATGAGTAATACAACAAAGAGTAATATTAAAAGCTAATGATTAGTAATATTTATACTAGCGATTGATAATGTCCATGATCATCTCTATATCTAATTTATATTACAACTATTCTTATTCTAACCGTTTTCTTTATTACACTGAAACAGTTTGTGCCTTCAGTTTCTTGCCTCGGCATCTGGGTAATCCTCCACCCACACTTACCAGGGCTGAATATATTTAGGATTAAAAGCCTGCATGCCCGGCTCTGGGGAAGACAGAGGAGGCCGGGTTTGCTCAGCAAAATTTCTTCTTAATAGTATGTAACTCAGCCTAGAGCATCTCTTAGGAGTCCGGCCCTCTATGTTTAAGGAGGAATTGCTAGTGGCTTTCCACATTTCAAAAAATGTGCCCTGGGCATCCTAGAAATTGTGCTTTCAATTGGTAGAGATTAGAGACAGTGAGGCCTGCTCCATAGGGGGAACCTTAGAGGAGCTGGCAGCCTGCAGGGGAGGTTCCGAACAGGGCTTCATGTTTTTCCGTTTTCTTTATTTTTTATTTATTTAATTTATTTATTTTGAGACAGAGTCTTGCTCCGTTGCCCAGACTGGAGTGCAGTGGCGCAGTCTGGGCTCACTGCACTCTACACCTCCTGGGTTCCAGGGATTCTCCTGCCTCAGCCTCCCAAGTAGCTGGGATTAAAGGTGCCCACCACCACGCCCGGCTAATTTTTGTATTTTTAGTAGAGACAGGGTTTCACCATGTTGGCCAGGCTGGTCTTGAACTGCTGACCTCAACTGATCCACCTGCCTTGGCCTCCCAGATTTTTTTAAATTAATTTTTTTATTTCCATAGGTTATTGGGGAACACATGGTGTGTGGTTACATGAGGAAGGTCTTTGGTGATGATTTGTGAGATTTTGGTGCACCCATCACCCGAGCGGTATACACGGCACACTATTGGTAGTCTTTTATTCCTCACCTCCTTCCCACCCTTTCCCCGTGATTCCCCAAAGTCCATTGTGTCATTCTTATGCCTTTGCATCCTCACAGCTTAGCTCCCACATGTGAGTGAGAACACACGATGTTTGGTTTTTCATTCCTGACTTACTTCACTTAGCATAATAGACTCCAATCCCATCCAGGTCGCTGCGAATGACATTCCTTTTCATGGCTGAGTAGTATTCCTTTGTATATACATACCACAGTTTCTTTACCCACTTGTTGATTGATGAGCATTTCGGTGGGTTCCACATTTTTGCAATTGCAAATTGTGCTGCTTTTAAAATGCGTGTGCAGGTATTTTTTTCATAGGATGACTTCTTTTCCACTATGGAAAACAGTATGGAAGTTCCTTAAAGAACTGAGAGTACAACTACCATTTGACCCAGCAATCCCGCTACTGGGTATTTTCTCTTTTCTTCTTAACTGTCCTTCCTTCTTCCTGGCAGGCTACCACCGTAGACAGGATGGCTCTGTCGGGTTTTATCGGCTGCATTTGTTCCCAAGCCACCTGCAGAAAGGGTTTTTTCTTGTCTCTCTGCAAATTCATTTCTTCATCCTTCATGCGTTCCTTCCTTCCTTTGCACCTACGGTGTGCTTGGGGTCAGGAAAATATATCCAAGGGAGTTCTGGTGGCCTAAGAATTCTGTTTCCTGGAGAAGAAAGGCGTGTAACAGGCAGACAGGCGATAGGGCGACAGGGACCACCATACTTGCATCAATAACGATGATTTGCAGGAGTGTTGGTTTCCGTGTAGCCCCTCGAGTTTCCTTCATGGAAGCCTCC